TAAAGATAATAATGTTAAATTTTGTTTGAATCAAACTCATGGGCTAAATATATAAACACATGATACAATTATCAACAGTTTTTAGACAAAAGGAGTCTGGTAAAAGAATAGATATTTATTATTATTATTAATTCATTTATTTGATGAATTGATCTAATTTTTAATTCTAATTTTATAGATTTATTGATATGTTAAATGAGATTAGATTGGTCATTGTGACTGAAAAAACGTTGGAAATCATGAATAGATTAAAACTTCCACCACAATATCCTAATGATGAAATTCAGGTTACAGAATTGTAAGTTGATCAATATTCATTACAAGGTACTCAAGGATTGATAAAGTTACTTGTATTTTTAAATAAAATTCAAAATATATCATATATATATCATGCTAAAGACTATGAACCGAAAGAAATTGGTAAATTAAAGTCACTTATTAAAGATTGCTTGGCACAAGATAAATTGGAATTAAAACGTGATGCACAAGTAATGCTTATTAAAACATCAATAAAGATTTAGTTAATGGGAGTAGAGGTATTATTGTTGGTTTTTATTCAAATGCTACTAAAAAAAGTTATTATAATGGTGAAGATGAGATTGTGAAGTTTGGCCAGAAAGATGAAATATTGCCAATAGTTAGATTTGCTGAAAACAGACAATTTATTGTTCGTGAAGTTGAGTGGAAACTAGAAACTGTTGATAATGTTGTATCAGCAAGTAGACAACAAGTAGGTATTTTTGTATTTATATGTATGTGTATGTTTTTTTTATAATATATGTATGTATTTATTATATATTTAATGTAATATTAGATTCCTCTTATACTTGCTTGGGCAATTAGCATTCATAAAAGCCAGGGCCAAACACTGGAAAGAGTCAAAATTGATTTGAAAGAGGTTTTTAAAAAAGTTATTTATATACATATTCATAATAATGATAATATAACTATTATAATAAATTAATAAATTATTATGTTTTTTTTTGTAAATAGGGCAGGCATATGTTGCATTGTCTTGAGCTAAATCATTGGAATCTTTACAGGTTTTAAACTTCACAAGAGAAAGATAATGGTTGATGAAAGAGCAAAGAGATTTTATGAGTCATTAACAGATAAATGAATTGGACATTAAATGCTTATTTATTTAAAACTTCATATTATTATTTTTATTGATATTGAATTTTTTTTTGAGTAATTAACTATTTTTCATTACTTTGTTTATTTTCTTAATGTATATATATTGGATAATTAATATAATTGAATTTGTTCTTTGCACAAGAACAAAAGATTATGATTTTACATACATAATCTGCACATCCTATATTAATATTGTGAGATTGAAATCTGCTTCTCACAGTGAATCTTAGTATTTTATTACTTAAATTTATATAGATGTGATTGAATGCTCCTTGATATTTTAATCTCAGTTGCAATTGCTTTTCTTGTTGATTTTATTAATAGCTCATTGTCTACTAATCCTTGAGAAGGAATTTTATTCCCCCTTCTGGTGATGTTTTCTCAGCAGTTCTTTATTATCAGCATGCCTCTAATATATCTGTACTATCTGCCTTTGTGTGTGTTGGGCTTTGCTTTTTTGTTCATTAGCCTCAGTTCATCAGGCTTTACTCCTTTGTATATTTAGCACAGTTTTGACTGGTCCCCGCATAGCTTGTGCTCATTGTTAAATATATTTACTAACCCTTATTAAATTATATTTCATAATTTAATAAGCTATCATTACTTAAATCCAATTTAGCAAATTCATCATTTAATATTCTACTTGTATGATATGCTAATGGATGTGATTTATGAATTTGTTGTGAATTACTATTATTACCACAACCACCAATATTACTACTACTTACATTAAGACCTTCAGTTTTAAATTTATCACAAGCAAAATCCCAAAGCTCCCCAATAGGGCTGGAAATAGTACTTTAAAAATCCAGATTTTCCTTTTAAAATTTTTAACTTCCGGAAAAAAAAAGAGTTGCCGGATATTTTTCCTTTTATTTTTTTTGTACAGGTTTTCCATATGCATAAAAAAAATTACCAAAATTTAATATATGGGATGTCCACCAGCAAAAAGGGGGTCTGAGACTATTAAATTGTTCTGTGTTATAATCAAAACAAAATTGGTTACACAAATAGTTTTGATATGTAAAGTAAATATTTCAAGTCTTGTATCTCATTATTGTACTAGGTAAACATGTTCTAAATTTTTCACCAACTATAATCCTTATGATATAGATATACATTATGCAAAAAACTCAATTTTGGCCAGGAGTTCTCAGACCCCCATATTGCTGGTGGACATCTCATATATATTATATATGCTATTACTTCAATATTTTAAAATAGAACAGCCAGAATCACAATTTTTATCTTTTGAATTTTCAGAAGAAAAGTATTGAATCAATTAATATCTATTTCAAAATATATATTTACATCTTTTATTTTCCCTTATTCAAAAAATAAATTATAAATAAATAATTAGTATAGAACAAGAAAAATTAGATAACTTGACTATATACTGAAATTTGGGATAAAACATTTACAGATGAAACAAATATTGTTGAATCAGATATAGAAGATTTAGATGATTTGATAATTCAAGGTTCAGATGATGATGATACTTCAAAAAATCAAATAAAAAAAGAAAAGACAGTGAATTAAGTGTAAACCATGTTAAAATGTCAAATAAAAAAGTGCATTTTAAAAAATCAGGAGGAAGTTTTCAGCATGAATGGTTAAACATATATAAATGGTTAAAATATGATGCAGCAACAAAGAGAATGTTTTGCACAATTTGTAAAGCACATGGAGAAAAAAATCAATTTGAGGAAAAGGTAACAAATAGATATAATTAATTAATTTACTAATGTTATAATGTTAATATTTAGGATCAAAGAATGTTTCAAAATCTACTGTTCTAGCAACTTGTGCACTTTCAAACCAACATAAAGATGTTTTGCTTCTAGAAAAGGCAAGAATAACCATGCATGATTCTTCCAAAAAGGCCATTAATAATGGTAACAAACATATAATTAATATTTACTGGATGCCAAAAAAAAAATAATATTCCAATTTCCAAACTTCCAAGTCTTATTTATACCTTAAAACTTATAGAAATAGTGCACTCAATTCAATTTTCTAGTGTAGATTGTGAAAAAGGTTTTAGCAAACAGAATATTATAAAATGTAATGTAATGGAAAATGACATATTGCACATATTAATAATGGTTGGTTTAAAAGGTACTGATTTATTTGGTTATGATTTTAGTGATGCTCTTAGTAAAATTTTTCAAAGTAAAAACAGAAGAATAAAGTAAAGAAATTTTAGCACCCAAAAAATTTTCCTTTTTTTTAAAATTTTCTTCTGGAAAATTTTTAGCATTCAGGAGGAACTTCCGTTTTTTTCAGACCCTATTTCCAGCCCTGCTCTCCAATAGTTGGCCATTTTGATGGATCCACATCTCAACACCTTCGCATCATTTGTGCACAATCATCAGGCATTCCTGGTAATTATTGGTGATTGTAAACCTTCACATATTTTTAATTGCAAATGAACATCATGTGCTCTATCATCAAATGGCGGATGTCCTGCAAATATTTCCCACATTAACATCCCAACGCTATAAACATCTAATTCTTTGGTGTATTTTTTTTTCTTTAAATAGTTCTGGTGCAAGATAAGGTACAATTTCATAAATTTTATTTGATGATTTTTCATCAACTGGTCCACATAATCCAAACTCTGTGATAAAACAAACATCTCCTTGCATTAATATATTACCACTATGTAAATCATAATGAATTATATAATGCATTACATAAACTTCTAAAGGTTATAATTCTATCCTTTGATGTTAAATTATAATGATTTTCTTGTATATAATAAATAATATTAATATTAAATCGTGTTACAATGGCCAATGAATTTTTGGTAGTAGATGTGGCGGTGGAGTTTTAATAATAATAATAATACTAATACTATTACTTTTATATATTATATGACAAGGTTACATCACCAAAGAATATAAAAAAAACCACATAAATAAAATTATTTTTGGTCAGTAGAATCCATCTTAATGTTAAATGATTGTTTGTTGAAATTATTATAACATTTAAAAGTACAGTATGCTTGCAATAGATATTCATGAAGACTTGGCTTTAAAATCATATTTATTTATAATGTGAATTTTGAAGAAAATGCAAAACTTTGCAAATGACATTTGGATTTTTTTGTGCAGTTATTATTATGTATGTCGTTGCATAATCAGATGACTAAAAATTTTGATACTAATACTAATACTAATATTAATCCCGAAAAACCAAACCGAATTTTCAATTCAGTTTCAGACTGACCTTTTAAAGTTCGGATGTTAAACATGCTGTGATTAGTAAACAAAGGAGAGAACTGGTCCATTTTTGTTCTTGAAAAAATTCTAAATCCCGAAAAACTCTTTAAATAAAATTGACATAAATTGTAATGATCCCAATTTCATTTGAAATTTGCAAATTTGTATGAATAAACGTTATAGTCTCATTTGTGAATCTTCTTCATATTCATGTTTGAAAAATCATGCTAATACTGAATATGTTCTTTAGCATAAAACACCATTTCAAACCAAATATTCCATCCATTTAGTTTGGTTTGGTGGAAGGATCTTTCGAGGAGAATTAATTCCATTCATCCTAAGATGATTTAAATATCATCTTTTACGAGAGGTGATTTAACAAATGAACTTCTATATAGTTGTATTAAATATTAGATTAGTAAAGAGTTAGAATAACAAAATATTCCTTAAAAAAATTATGAGCGCAGTTCACTTTCCCTTTCTATAGTGAACTTTGCTCTATAATGATAGCGAACTGAGAATTTAGGCCTGATTTTTTATTATTTAATCTTTGTCTATCAGGGTCGGAAATTATCTGGTCCATTGAAAGCTGTTGGATTTTGGACTGGTATATTTGGAAATTGTTAATATGTAAAAATAATGTTAGCTCAACGTATAAAATAAATAGTGATAATTTTTTGAAGTTGCTCCCAAATTTTTTCCTTAAAAAAGGTAGCCAGCTCATTAACACACTATCTGCGTTTTGTATTTTTGTTGAATTTCAAAATCTAAATCTGATATACTTCACACGATCTCAAAGAAAGTTGTATGCACAACATATGTAGGAATCCATTTGTACCAGTGTTATTTATCGCTGAGGAGTGTATATAGAAGTGATTTTCCTTATTATCATGCAAGTAACTTGAGGTTGATGATTTCCCGATTGAAAGTTCCCACTAAGAGCACACATACAACAGATCTATAGCTTCCGCAAGTTTATCATAGGAATCAGGTGCCTCAAATGGACAACTAAATTTTCTGCATAATTCACTGACCTTCAGTTTTCACAATTTTATATCTCTTTCATGCTTTGTTGGCCGGATATAGAAGTCGATAATTTAGAACCTGCGCAAATAAACAAGAACAGTTGTTAGATTAACTTTGAATTGACCAATTTACTTTAGATAAAACAATTAGTGTTCCATGTCGCAATCCAAAAAAGGAAACCAAAGTGGTCGCAAAGATGGTTGCAACCATCACCAAGAATTGCGACCAGCATCTATAAAAACAATAAATGAAAATAGAACGATAAACACATACCTGATTAAAAGAAATGTTCAGTCAGGGACATAAGTATGGAATGGAGGTGATGAATAAAGGAGATGCATAAAAGGAATGTAAAAAAAAGGAACAAGTTAGCTTTCTCTTCTCTTTTTTGTCTCTATATTCTTCTTCTTTTTAATTCGTTCCGTTTCTCTCCTCTTTAAATGCCTTCGACTCTTCATTTGCATCTTTTAATTCTTATGCTATTTTTAATTGCTCTTTAATTAATTCTTGATTGTTGCCATTTTTTATAAATTATGTCTACAACTTCAGGCACATGATTTGGAATTTATTTAATGTATATAGATGAATCAGAGGAAAGTGCTCAGACCAAAGCCATTTGTAAATATTACATATTCTTTGGACACTCTTTTAATAACTATTATCAATTATGTCATTATTATTACTTCATCTTAATCTTCACCTTTTTGTTCTTTTCTTTATTGATTCACTTTTATTGTTTTTTTTCTAAGGTTGGTAGAAGTTGTTGATGGCCGAAGCAGCAACTAATTTTCCTTCCCCACACAACCCACGAATTTCAATGGCAATTTACTAAATGAAAAGTCTGGATTCAATCAGTCTTTTTATCAAATAATTGCTTGGAATCCTTCCATAAAATTCAATTTCTTTTATCATAAGCAAACATGTTTGTTTGATTTATTCTTGATTTTGATTTTCCTTGGCCGTAAAGTTGGTGTTTGTAAATTTTATAGTAATGCAAGAATTAACAATCAACAAAAAAAGTTCGATGTAAATATTTGCTAATTATTATAACCGTAAAAAAACTGACATTGAATCGTGTAACAAATATTTTGGCTCATATTTCGAAAGTACTTTTTTAAAAAAAAATGCGACCACCTCAATGGAAAATGGAGAGGGTCAAACCGCCTTTATATAATTCAAAAGAAAAAATGTCCTCGGTTACGCTGAATTCGCAAATATAGTAATAGAGAAAAGAAAAATGTCATTTGTTATACTATAATTAGCATTATTTAATTTATTTTGATATTGGGTCATACCAAAAAAAAAAAAAAAAAAAAAGAATTCCTTTTTAGTAAACATAAAAAAGATTCAATTCTTAATGTATTAGTATTATTTTTTTTTTCCAAAATGGAAAATTTAAAAAAACTGACGTTCTTTTTTAACAAGTTCACGTTCATTCATTTGATATTTTTATTTTTGATTCCTATTGTTAGAGCTCCACCGCCTTCATTCTCTCCTTCAACTATTTCCTCTTATTCCGCTATTTCCTCTTCCACCACTATTTCCTCTTCCACTATTTCCTCTTCCACAACTTCTTTCGCTATTCCTTCTTCTCATGCTCTAATTTCCCCTTCACCTCTTTCATCACCTTTATTTTATGAAGATGCTAATTCATCTTCCACCACTTCTTTCACTGTTTCTTCTTCTCATGCTCCAATTTCCCCTTCACCACCTTTATTTCATGAAGATGTTGATTCATCTTCTGCCGCTAATATTTACGGAATCCACATTTTATATTTTATTGATATAATCTTATTTGGATTGGATATTCTCTTTGGCATTTATTTTTATTTCAACAAAGAGACAAAAGTTTCAGAGTTTGTTTTTATAATTTTCTTAAATGTTTTAAATATAATTCTCAGTACACTTGGAATGATCGTCGGATGCGATAAAACAGATAATGCAATCATACAAGGATTAATGACTATATTTTTTTGGGTTCCAGCAATATTATTATGTATCAAACTAGGATTTTGGAATTATAGACCAAGCGCGAGGATGGAAATTGAATATGAAAAGTACATAATAATTTCCACAGCTTTTATAAGTTTGTTAAATGCAATTCGCTTGTATAATAATTCAAAAGATTACAATTCTTTCAATATTGAAATTTTTAAAATAGTTATGATTTTGATCAGCAATTATGGCAAGTTTCTAAAACCAATATTATTAATTATTCCATTAACTGTTCAAGGTATTATCCTATATCCTAAATATGATCATATCACCATAATTCTTACTATTGTTTTATCTTTTGTAATAACTTTCATACATTTGTGTCGGGAAGCTTGGACGTGTCCAAAATTTCAACAATTTCTGGAATTCAATGAATTTTTAAGCCATTTTTTTATGGAGTTAAAGATAATTTTAATGACATTTTGTGTATTTGGCGCATATTTTATAGGAGCGATTATGATAATTGCTATATCAATGAGTTTAGTTTATTTTTTAAAGTTATATTTTACATTATTTGTTTATGTGATTATTGGTTGTGTTATTGGATTTATTATATGGCTCCTTACTATGATTGGTATTTGTTTATATATTATTTCATTAGGACAAGCGTCAATGCCAACACAAGTGTTTGTCATGTTAGCTGAATTTTATTTTTATTATTTTAATGAAGATATTGTTTTAGAAACTTTTTTAGAAGAATTAGTATCTTTAGGAAATTATTTAATAATTTTTTTTAGCATTTAAACTTGTAGCTATTACCATTACGATAAATTTAAATCATTAAAGATGCATACTAGAGAAATTTAGCAATAATAATATTTTAATTACTACCTGATGTGTGTGTTTTAGCATTAATCTTGATAATGAGGAAAATTTTGATGGTAATAATAATAAAGATGATAACAATGATGATGCCGCCGTTGTTGCTACTATAAATGGATCAAAGAAAAATAATAAAAGTAAAGATAGCAATAAAACATCTAATAATACAAAAAAATGAAAATAATTCTATTAAATTTCATTATAAAAAAATTTAGATTAAAATACATTTTATATTATTATTAAAATCTTATATTACTATTAACTATTACCAAAATCTGTTATCATTCATTACCATTACTAAGAATTACCAAAATACATTGTCCGTTCTATTTAGAGTTAATTTTTAATTAAATGTTTATTATTATTTGATTCACAACACGCACCACAATTTTTTGAATCAAAAATAAAAATATTTCAAAATTGTCAATATAATAAAGAGTATGTTGTCCATCAATACATTCAGCTTATTAAATTTCCACCTAAATATTTTTCCATATTCATTTTATTTTCCCTCTTATTTTAAATTTATTTCATTTCAAATGCTAACTGATACATTACTATCACCATTACTGTGTCGAACCCAACATGCATGGTAGAAGGTAATGCTGATATAATAGAAATAGGAATGAGGGCGGCATTTTATACACAAAGTATACTAGCATTTGTAAAAGTATTTCTGGAAAGGAATCAAGCTACAGACCCAATGTTGTTTGGATTGATAACATCCTTATCCTTAGTAATATCTGTCTTATATCAATATACAGTAAATGGCTTACACTATATATTTCTAATAGAAGCATCGCAACTTGTATCTCTATTACTTATCGCAACAGCCGCTGCGTTTTCTTTTGACATGTATGGGCCTAAATCTAAAAAGTTAGTGTATATAGTAGTGGTATACATATTAGTTAATGCAGTAATTGCATCCTTTAACATATGGTTATGGACAACTGCTAAGTGGAAGCTTCCAGGGGAAAGTTGCGGCGACCAAGTGAACGTTTTCATAATAAAATTTCCATTTAGCGCGACTGGTTGGATGCGAGACCTCTCGCTAGCAGTAAATTGTATCGTGCTAGCATTCTTATTGTTAATAATTCCTTGTATTTTATCCTCACCACCTCCTCAGAGTATTCAAGATATGGACCCAGCAATATTAACTGCAACTCGATGCTGTTATATGATATTATTTTTACCATCACTGGTGCTATGGATAACCTCGATTGAAATGTCAGTCAAAAGAAATCCGATATCAGGAATTTGGGACTGGAGCTATGGACAAGTAACAGCAGTCGTAATAGCTGCAGGTGATCTAGTAAATGTAATTATTTTGATTCTAGCTCCAGAAGAAAAAAAGGATTATAATTATAATGATGATTATAATAATGATTATAACCATTATAATATTGATAAATACGTTTGAGTATTAAGGCAGGACTTCTGTGAAAATCTCAACACTTATATCGGGTATAACTGGTGATATTGTTTTAATATAACATATGGATGGGTATTCCTTAAATTACTGCATCATCATCATATTATTATACAAAGTTTTATTCATGTTATTTTTTTTTTATGTTATTTGTATTTCTTATCCATAGCATAATATTATTATATATATTATTCAGGCACACAATATTTTATTAGCGGAGCTAGTAAGGCTAAAATACATATACAAATACACATACATTATTACCTTCTAACACTGGTACTACTAGTATCTTCTTGGAAAGATCTGATTTATCACTATCGAGTGCCAATTGTAATTGTAACTCTCCTACTGTTAGTTATTGTGGATGTCTCGGGTTTTCAATGACATTATTAATATTGACCCTATTGCTATTGGCCATTAAATACGAACTTTTTAAATTAGCCTATGAATTATATATACAGAGTCGTGAAAATGAGATATACAAGAAAAACAAACCGTCTCCTTGTAAAACAATTAGAGAAATTATGCGACTTACAACCCTATAAAATGTCCTGGCAATTACATTCCGTACATTTTCAGGACAAATATGTACGGAAAAGTGCTCTTTTCAGTCACAGGACATTTCCCACCGATCTATAGGAGGTTGTAAAACATATATATATAGTAAAATTTGGATGATCTGCATCATAGTAAAATTCGTAAAATTTTATAATCGAATGTCTTCACACCCTCATTTGATACCCTTGCTGTGTAGCAACTACCACCAAATTTGAGATATAATTTCTTTATCATATGTATCTACTTTATGAAAAATCTTAAAGCAGGTTGTTAATAAA